AACGAAAAAAGAAGTAGAAAATATAGTTATATTAACGTTTAAGTCGTGGGTTAAACCTTATTATAATTCATTAATCTTAATCGAGTTAATCTTACCAAATATTTCAGAGATTTATTTTTATGGGGTGAGCAAAAAAAATTCGAGATTGTCGGTCAATCCATTTCAGGAGGGATTATACTTCTATTCTGTAAAATACTTATATGTTTCTGTATCAATAAAACAATAAAACAGGCCCTGGTGGCTCAATTTCATATAAATAATCAGTTTACTTTTGCATGTGTATTTCGTGAATTTATTTTATTGTATTGTTATCGATGTATATCAAAAAATAATATGTATCACGGGCTAGTCCCGAACATTTGTATTTATTTTTTTCGCATATATTAATAAAAAATTTTTTTCTTGGCAAAAATGAGCTGCGTTACGAAAAGTAACGCGCACGTTATTTTTATTAATCTGAAATTTGAATATACCCGCGCTCTATGAGAGCGATGGAAAATACTCACACCATTGATTCATTAAGAGAATTAAATGCTAAACTCTTAGCTGAGATTGTAGAGCTCAGAAAAGAGAATGCTGAGATCCCTGATCTTAAAAGGAAGTTAGCCGAGTTTGAGTCAGAGAAAATTGAGCTTAAGGTCAGGCTTGCCAAAGCTCTAAAACAGGCTGTGAAAGAGAGTGAGAGACGTGATGCTGAGAATGCTGAACTCAAGGCTAGAATTGAGGAGTTGGAGAAAAATAAGGCGGATTCTTCAGCCGAGAATATTAGGCGTGATGATGCAATTGCCGAGCTTAAGGCCGAAGTAGTGAAACTAAGGGACGACAATGAGGGGAGCAATCAGGTCACTTTTCCACTATCTTGTGTGAGTGATCAAAAGACATCGGAGGACAGGGAAATGGACACTTTCTTGGACGATGCACATAAGAAAAGCGTTAGTGATTGGATAAGGAGACGCAATAAGGAGAAGAAACTTAGCAAAGCAGAGCAAGCATCTCTTAACCAAGATCAAGAATCTGATACTGAGTGCTCTACTTCTGAAAAGATACCAGAAGTATCAAATCCCATGACTGAAATTTTGGCCGGGGCGCCCCTGCTGAAAAATAGTCATAGGAAAAAAGGTGCGGAAAATATTTCTCAAATGATATCTGATGGTATTCAAAATGATGCACAGTCTCAAAAATGTATTCTTAGTTCTTCTAATAATATATTATCACAACAAAGCCAAATTTCTTCTACAGTACCACTGCTTACTTTAGCTCAATTATTCGATAAAGCGACTGATGCTGAATATGGTGCAATTCATGCGAATCAGGAAGAAATATTGTGCTGGTGCTACTATGGAAAAAAATTTATAACTCAAGTTAACGAAGTTACCAAAGGTAACAAAATTGGTGAGAAAAAAGCGAAAGGAATTATCTATGATAAAATGTTAGAGGATCTTTCTATTCTCCATAAAAAGAGATCTGAAGAAACAGGTTTACAACTCCCAGAAATCACACGTAAATACTTGCAAGGGAAAACTCAGAAAGCCGTAAAAATATACAAATTATTTGAAAATTTAGGTATAGATAAAATTAAATATATCACAACTTATAGTGCGAATTCTATTTCAGAGTTAACTAATGACAAAATTAAAGAAATCATAGATAGTTTCCCCAAGCAAGAAGACGAGTCACCAACTCCTGAAATTTCAGCCGGGGGTTACTGCCAAAATTCAGCTGAGGTAAGCGAATTAATTGCACCTATTCCTATTACACATGGCTCTAATTCTTTAGGTAATTCATCATTCACGCCTCAAATCACTCCAGCTGAGGTAGAGAATCATGATGACTATGATGAGGTATATTATGATGATGAGGCGTGTTTTGATGATCCCACACCTCAGTCAGAGAAAGGGACTAATGAAGTTCAGATAGTCGATGATAGTGATTGTAGCCACGACAATGATTCTGAAGAAGAGAGGCTAGATGAATCGGATGATGACAGATATAATAGGTATGATAGATATGATGAATATGGTAGATGCGATAGAGGCTATTATTATCGTGATGGAAGATACAAAAGAAAAAGCTCACCAATGATGAGTCCTATTATCTCACCAGTAACCGCCTAGGATGTATACATAATCTAGTTTCTAATTTTCAGATATACAATGATTTTAAATTTATCCCGGGCCGTATAATTTATACAATTGACTGTGACATTGATGTCACACCTTAACCAATAAAATGGAGTTGTCTTATTGTGCCACTGTGACAATGGATGTCACACCTATTCAAGCACAAATAATAAAATTTTTATTTTAGTTTAACATGAGTTAGATATTTGTCTCATGAAAAGAGGATGCTTTTGCATCTAAACATTGAAATAACAGTATAAATAGTGACCAATACTTATTTACACGATCGTGTAAAAATAAAAGATGATTAGGAGCCTAGCGGACCCCTTCTTTATTTAATATTTTTTTTGCCGGAATGACAACAGACAAATAAAAAAAACATATAATAAAAAAAACAAATAAAAAAATATATATCGCTGTTACATAAAGCAAATAAAAAAATATATTTTTACTGCTTTGGATTTATAATGAATATTGCGTTATCAAAATCTTCAGGTTTTTTAAAAATTTCAGATAATTTCTCTTCTGATTTAATATCTTGTATGTAAGCAATTCTTTTGACCAGAATTTTAAAACGTGCTTCAATCTTTGCTTTAAAATCTTTGAATGTATAACCCCATTTAATTACATCAGGATATTTATGGGATGGAAATTCAAGCACAGTATCAAATTCATCGGGAAGTGTGGCCATTTTTTCTGAATATAAAATTTTAATGAGTTTCGCTTTTATAGTTTTTGCTATAAATGTCACAATCTCATATAAATCATTACCTTAGAACTAAATTGCGGGTAACTTATATTAAACTTTTTTTCAAAAATATATGAGCAAAAAATAATGTTATTGCTAACTTATCTTATGGGCGGGAACTTGCTTATTTTATACCGTTCATTTGTTAGATCTTAGAACTTACTAGAAAAAAAAAAGTATACGATTAGTAAGTAAATAACAGAATAAAGCAGAATAAAACAACTCCGCTCGGCTATAAGTTCCAAATACTGGGTCTATTTTGTTATTTTTCTGATAAAATTAACTCCCTTTAGATTCGACAATCGTTTCTGCGAAGTGAAAAAAGTCAACAATCTCGATGATCTGGGAATTCTAACTCCCCCATGACATATAAATTTAGATAAAACTACTAATAAGGAACGTTATACTTATTACCCTTATAGCTTTTTTAAGCCTCATTCTTATTGCAAGATCGTATAGGGTAAGAAAAGGTCTAGGCATTATTTGTAATATTCGTTATTAATAAAAAAATTGACTGTGAGAAATGATTCTGCAGGAGAGTACTACAAAACCTTATATCGCGACTTGTTGCTTCTGTATTTACAATATTCTGTATTAATACAGCGTCTCTCCAGAAGTAATAAAAAAATTCTGATGTATCGATGTAGATAAGCTTTGAATAAAAGGCGGTCCCATAGTTTGTTAAGACATGTGATAATAAATACTTTATTTTTTCCAGTACAAATGTACCGGTATCTTAAGAATATCGATACGTGTCTATGTGATTTATTTCAGTATGGATCGGTATCGACACGATTTAATGGCCAACAATAAAAATTACATGGTTGTGTTAAACTAACGTGCATTTATGTTTACAGATATTTATAGGTATTTATGTATTTACACTTCTGCACTTTGGTAAAAAAAATTGGGAACATGCTGTTATAAGTATACAGGTAATAATAAAGTGTATAACGGTTATTCTAAATTTGTAGATCCAGCTTAAATATAACGTGTAAAATTATTACTGTACCCATATACCCAAATATGTCTTTCAACAAGTTATTAATAATCTAATTCCAAATATAGAAAATGTGCGATGGTTGATTTGTCATGTTCTATAATTGTAGTGCCGAATTTAGTAAACATTTTAATTATTTGTTATGTAGTGTTAAATTATCGTTATGACACCAAATAAAAATTGTTAGTTGACTCATGTTAAATTATCCTAATGCTGAGTCATTTGTATTATATATACTGCTTCATGTCAAATAGTTATATACTAAATAAAAATAAGTTGTGATTTATGCGAAGCATAGGCAAGGCCCTATAATAAAAGGGTTATCTACAAAATTCTGTTCTGAATTTGCTTGTTTTTTCTCGAAAGCATTTAAAAAATTTTTATAAATTGCTTACTTCTATTGTTACTATGTCATCGCAAAATATACTCATTCTCTTATCAAAGGCCTCTAAGAGAAATCTTCGTAAAAAGAATATGCGTGCTACAAAAAAAGCAAAAATTGAGAAGTCCGATAGTTCAATTGTTGGAGAAAGTGATTCTATTGCTGAACAATGGCTCTTCGAGCCTACACCCAGTACTAATGCTAACCAAATCGAAGAAAGAACAAATATATTTTATAATCCTCTAAAGGTATATAACCATCTTTTATCACTTTTAGTTTTATAGTATAGTCTTCTTTAGGGGTAGTTGTTGCCTTTTGAGGCAGGTTTAGGATCCGACTATTCCCTCCCTATTATTATTGAGGGCGTGATCGTTAATCACAATTGTCTTATTAGCAAGGAGAGGAAGACTAAACGAGCTTCCCGTTTAACACTAAGCTATGAGACGAAAATGATTCAAATATATCCACCTCACTTTATTATTATCCAACTTCAGGACATTATAGATTATATAGTATACCATTTATTAATTTTTGAATATATATTCTTTAGCATAAAACCTAACTGGAAACCCGCTAATCGACCAAAAATGAGGCTTGAGAATATATCTGTACCCAATGGATATTAGAAGATTTCCTTTCTAGTGATCTTAAATCGGCTAAAATTTCACAACCTTATACTTTGATAGATCCAAAATTTACTTTTATTAAAAAGTTTTTAGAAAGAAGGCAACAGAGACTAATTATTACAAACAGATTCATTATTAGATAATAGTGTAAACCCAAATACCTATATTACAAAATCTTTACCACCTCAAACAATTCAACTGATGCCTATCGATAACTCGGAAATACTGATGCGATATATGGTTCTGCTAGAATCTGAAATCTTTAATAAAGGCTCTTCGAATTCGACGCCAGAACAGTGGAAAGAGTTTGGGTTGTGGACAAATTTTTCAAAAGTCCCCAATTTTAATCAATGATTTCGTCATCATTGTCATCATCTCTGGTCTAACGTGAAACATGCTTATTGTGAAGCCCTGAATAAAATACAAAAATATAAGATCTCAGAGACGTTAAGCCGATTATCAATAAATAAATTAGGTGTAGCTAAAGAGGCCATAAAAGATGTAGCTATCGGTAATAAATTTGAAGGCTACTACCATGTCTTCAATCCACAATGCTTCAAGAATTCTTTCGGTGAAACCATAGTAGAT